GAAAGGGGATGACCTCTGAAAAGAAGAAAGGCTTTGTAGGGACATTTCATTTGGGGATTTGTTGGTTGCTTTAGTGATTGATGCGATTTGACAGTACTTAAATAAAGGACTGTGTACTTTAGAAAGAAATGAGACAGTGAAAATAAAGAGGATAGCACTAAAAATAAGCTATCAAGCCATGAATAAAACATGGAAGAACTTTAACTATTACTAAATGGAAGAAGCCAATCTGGAATGGACTCCTATTTATGACTCCAACCATGGGACTTTCTGAAAAAGAAAAAAAGTGCTGTCACAGGGAGAAGATCACTGGTTGATGGGGGGCAGTGTTGGGGGGCAGTGAATAGATGGAGCACAGAGCACTTTCACGTCAGTTCATCTATACTGGATTTTACTATAATGGTGGCTACATATGTCGAAACCCATAAAATGTGCAATATCAACAGTGAACCCCAATGCAGACTGTGTACTTTGGGTGATAATGATGGGTCAATATAGGTTCATCAGTTATGACACATGTACCACATAGGTAGGGGATGCTGATATTGTGGGGGTGGTTACTCTTGTATGGAGACATGGACATCTCTGTACATTTTGTTTAATTTTGCTGTTTATATCAAACTGCTATTTAAAATAGGTTATATTTAAAATCTAAAGATGATGAACATATACAATGGAAGACATCATTTTCAGACTCAGGTTACTGAGCAAGCAGGTAAGAGGGGACTGTAAGCACAGGCTGTTTTTGACAAGAATGAATTCATCTTTCTCTCTATTCTGCATTTTTTAGACGCTACAAAGCTTGAAGAGCCAGTGGAGACTGCAGCTTGTGTCCAGGAGGAAAAAGGACCAGCTCTATGTAGGGAAGTTGGCTAGTCAGCTGAGGCTTGGCTGGGGGAGCTCCGTGTGAGGCTGGGGTCCATACCCCAGCATAGCTAGGAGCTCCTGAGGTTTTATCAGACACACCATACTGATGTCTTATCTGTTCCACAATTGTATCTTTATCCAGCACCATATCTGCATCTTATTACAGTAAGAGCTGATCATTTGGCCCCCTTTCTATCCAGAAAATATACCTTATTTGTGTGGTTGGGTTGAGTGGAAATTCACAGTCCTGAAATGCACATTAGCAACTGTCAGGTGATGAATTTAGCAGCTTACCACAAAAAACATTTATTATCTCCCAGTTCTGGTTCCCAGGAACATTGTCCTCTGGCGCAGTGTCTCGCACATGACTGCAGTGAAGGAGCCAAGTCGGGTTGGAGTCATCTCAGGGGGGTGATCTGCTCCCGGGCTCCTGCATGTGTCTGTGGGACTGAGAGCCTCAGTTCCTCATGTGCTGTTGAGCAAAGCCCTTGCTCAGTTCTTTGCCTCATAAGCCTTTCCATAGGGAGGCTCACAGCATGGCAGCTGCCTTTCCTTTGAGCAAGCCAAAGAGGAAAAACAAGACAGAAGCCAGAGCCTTTGCAACCCAGGATCACGGGTGACATCCATGATTTATGTCATATTCTGTCCATTAGAAGTGTGTCACTAGATTCAGTCCATCTTCACAAGGAGAAGGTGATATAGGAGCATCAACACCAAGAGGCTGGAAACTTTCTTAGGAGCTGTCATCATAACAACTAGGCTTTTTTGAGAATGTCGGATTAGCTATACTACCCTTTCAAGTGGAAGAGCTTTTGCAATTACTACCTTCACCACACCCTTATCAGAAATCTAATGCATGTTGCCCAGCCATAGAACTTTATCTTGAGAAAAGTGAGGACACCAGTACAAGCCATTCCTGTACACCTGGTAATGCTACTTCAGGAACTTGTTTTTACTTCACCAATCTTCCTTACCTAGAATTCAGCCAACCTTCAACCGAATTTTACTGGAGGAGTCAAAGAAAGCTCCTGCTTAGCACTGGAGTCATAGAATGACATGGCTCAGAGAACTCTGCATCACCTAGCCCAATCTTTCCTTACTTAGCATGGAGAGCCTCTGAGAGGGGAAGTAACTTGCTCATGGGCACCTGGCTCATTACTTGCATAGCAGGTCCATGTTGAGCTTTGGAGAATACCAGGAATTTTCAGACAGGGAAGGCTTGCTGCAAGAATATGTAATAAGAAAATTGGGGTGGGGGCTGGTGCTGTGCCGTAGTGGCACTGTGATGAAGCCTACAGTGCTGGCTTCCCATATGGGCAACCGGTTCGAGTCCTGGCTGCTCCACTTCTGAGTCAGCTCCCTGCTAATGTGCCCGGAGAAAGCAGTGGAAGATGGCCTAAGTCCTTGGGCTCCCACATCCATGTAGGAGACCTGGAAGAAGCTCCTGGCTATTGGCTTCAGATTGGCCCAGATCCACAATTTGGCCATCTGGGAAGTGAACCAGTGGATGGAAGAGCTCTCACTCTCTGTCTCTCCCTCTGTAACTTTGCCTTTCAAATAAATCTTTCTAAAAAAGAAAATTAGGTTGGAAAACTAGTTGAGAGAAGAAACAAGTGGACGTGTAGAGAAAGAGAGGGAGAAAGCTGAGGCATATTCACTGTGGGTTGCAAAAGAGGAAAGGAGCAAAGCTGAGGCATATTCACTGTGGGTACCACTGGGGGGCTCCATGACTTCCTGGCAAACTTTCCTTGCGCTGTCCCTGTCCAGCAGTGTGGCACAGCACCACGACTGCTGCCTCCAGAGCCATCATGTCCGAGCCTCATCTCTGCTGCCAGCACTGTGACCTCTGCGAAGTACTTAACCTCTCTCGCCTCCTTTTCTGAACCAGGAGCGATAAAAGCACACACCACTTGGGATAGCCGTAGATTAAGTGAGATAATCAGTGCAAAGTCCTTACAGCAGCACCAGGCACAAGGAACATTCTATTAACATCAAGTGATGAAGGCAACCGATGTACCTTATTACGCAGTCCTTACCTGGGTTAGAAGATGGAGCGAAGCCTGGGATGTAAGGGCCACGGGGATAGAATAGGCTTAGGGGTGGGCAGGGGAGAGCACTTGGGGCCAGGAGGTTGTGGGTATCACTGGCCACGTGCAGCCAAATCAGAATGCCTCGTGCATCGCCAAGCAAATCCAATCGTCGGCAGTAGAAAGTCCTTTTGCCCAATCAGGCGTCTTTCTAATCCTTTTCCAGCGCATTCTTCTGGCCCCTCCTCCCATGCTGCCTTCAATTCAGCTTGTCCTGCAGCAGCTGTTGGGTTCTCCCTGCAGCTCATCCTCTCCACAGACTAATCCCCAGCTATGCGGGGCTGCAATGCAATTGAAATAATAAGCTGGAAATTAAAATGATACAATAATTTGCTATTACTACAACTACTGTGCAATATCAAATCTTTGATGCTATCACTGTCATTACCACTTTCTCCAGAGTTTTCCCCTCTTCTGGCTTTGTGCTTTCTATTCAAGCATGCACGTGTTTGACAAGCATGTTAACAAACAATTCCTTTTCAAACTAGAATTTGTTGAGTACTGACTATGTCCTTGATGCAGTCTGGTGCTTTAAATTGACCCTGACAATAACCCTGTATGTTGCTATTCTACCTTGAGAGATGGAAAAAACCATACCCAAGGTTCAATCCACGTGCTCATTCCTTCAACACCCCCTGACCCCACCAGAACCAGATGCTGTCCATTCTATTTGGCCTTCAAGGTCCAGGGCTAGGGCCAGAAGACAAAACACAACTGCAAGAAGAGGTTATAATTTAATAAGAGCGTTTAGGAGACTCACACAGGTGGATTCCACGGTGCTGCTTCAGTGCCCAGGGCACAAGTTGCTACATGGAACCCTGGCAAGAACTGAGCAGAAAAGGGTGTCCCTTCCCCACCTCGCAGCTTTGTCCTGTGGCATTCACTGGAAACGAAGGTGAATAGAAAACTCCTGCCTCCAATCAGTGGCTGAGGTGGAGGGGCAGCCAGAGGACAGGAGAAGGACATTCAGGGAGACCCCAGTGGGTGGAGGTGGTGTGTGTGTGTGGGGGGGTTGTCAGGGCCTTCGAGGATGAGTGCCAGCCGCTCCTGCTCCTCCTGAATCCCACCCCAAGCACCCACCTCGAGGCAGAGGGTGAAGCAGTTGTGGATGGTGGTGAGGGGACTACAAAGATTTTCTTGCATTAAACTAGAGCAGGAGGGACAGGAAGCAGGGCTGCAGGGTGCCCAGTGAGAGCCAGGACCTGCACTCAATGGTCAAGTGGGGCAGGAGCTGGCAGGTGAGTGATTGGGGTCGCTGGCGCCAGGAGAATATGAGGCCTCTGATGTCAGGCTAAAGGTATGGAACACTGTGGAGAGGGGGGCTCCGGGGCCCGAACCATGCAGCGTGCATTGTTCACTCAAACTCTGCACGTCTAGAAAAATCTCCATTCTGAATTACATTGCAACACATTCTCCATAACGCTCCTGAAGCTGCAATAAGCAAATGTGACCTGACCCTATTCGCGGGGAACAAGTCAGACCCCTTACCTGCCGCGAAGAGACATTGGCTGAAGGCTCCCCTTGCTGAGGGCGGTCTGCAAAGCACGCGTGCAAAATCAGCAACAGAACACCCACTCCAACTCAACTGCGGAAGAGTTTCGCAGAAAGGAAACGTTTGAAGAGAAAAGGGGGAAAACGTCAGAGACTTCCCTCAGAAACCTAAACTCACGAGAGTAGCAAGAACGTCTACAGAGGCTAGATTCTAGGCGCCCCGGTCCCGGAACGCTCCCGCCTCTTCCCCACTCTCACCACCACATCACTCCCTGGAGGACGAAGGTGGGCGGCTGCGCGCCCGGCCGGTCAGGTGAGGGCCCCCAGTCCCGAGGCGCAGGCGGCTGCAGCCCATTCGCTGGCACCGCCGCCGAGCGGGAGGGGCTGCCCCGGAGGCGCCGAGGAGGAAGGCGAGGCCGGGGACTGAGGACGCGGAGGAGACGCCGCAGCTCGACGCGGGGCGTGCGCCGGCGCGGGGCCGGCCTCCCTTCGCCGGGGTCGCGGGCGGACGCACGCCGCAGTCCGAGCGTCAGACGCGCGGGCGCGGGCCACCAGCGCAGGGGCGGCCCGGCTGGGCTACCAGAAGCGACAGCTTCCTCCGGCACTGAACGTTGGCACTCCAGCGTCCTGACCGGCGGTGGGCTCCGGGTCGCTGAGCGGTGGGCGCGGCGCGAGAACGTGAGTGGCTCGGTGCGCGTCTGGCGGTGACACCTGGTCCTGCTCGGGGGCGGCGACGGCAGCGGCAGGAGCAGAAGCGGGCGCGGGGAGCTGCTGGGTTCCCTAGAACAGCGGCCGAGGGATCTGCCGGGCGCTCTCCGCGCTGGCGAAGCAGGTCGCCAAGCCCCTTCTCCGTCACGGGTCCCCGACACACCCGCGGGTGCCGGCTCCAGGAAGGGGACGAGCGCCCGGCCGAGGGCACAGCCGAAAAACAGCGCCGCTGGCGCGGGCGAGCACCCGCTGCCTCCTCCCGTCCGTGGCCAACTTCGGCATCCGTGCCCACGTCCCACGCGTTCCGGGAAGCTCTACTCGGAGAGCTCCCTGTGACAGTCGGGTGTGGAGAGGTCGCTGCGGCCCAGCGCAGCGCCTTCCGGGGCAGCGAGCGACCCGGAGGGCGCCAGGTGTGTCGCCCTGGTGCTGGTGGGGCAAGGAGCTCAGGGGCCGGGCTGGGCGCGCGCAGGAGTGTGCGCGTTCCATTCCCCACGGACAGATCTGGGCGTGGGCTTTTTCGGATGTGCGACACTTGCGCGCATCGCCCGGTTCAGGGCGGGGGGAGGCCGACGCCTAGCTCCAGTCTCGCTGCCCTAAAGAGGATTCAGGGAACCAAAGGCCGAACGGGAGAGACACAGGACAGCGGGGTGGGAGCGTGTGCGGGGGCTTTGTTGGCCTGCAGGGGTGGTCTCTGGGGGTCCCAGGCAGCCGCGCTGTCTTCCGAGGTTTAATTGTCGGGGACGGCGCGCTGGCATGGAGGTTGACTGGAGAGACCCCCGCCTCCCGTCCCTGCCCTGCCCGGGCTCCCCGCGGGGGCCTCTGGCCACAGTTCGCCCAATGATGCTGGTTAGAGCCAGGAGTGACTGCCCAAGCTGGAGCACCCAAGTCGCTGCCAGCGCCATCTGCGCCGGGCGCCGCTCCCAGACCACCGGCGCGCCGCTCGGGTGGGGGCCCCGGTGTTCGCTGGCTCAGCCACCCTGGCCCGCATTTGCCAGAGCTCAGAGAGGCCCGGCGTCGTTTTAGGATGAGCCGGGGAGTCCTCCTTTCTTCCGGAGTGGTGGGAAGGTTCCCTGGGACCCAGGGCTGAAGAGCTGGCCCTTTCCTTCCCCAGGTCCCCTCACCGGCCCGTGCCCACCGCTGCATCTTCCACGACCCTGAGCGCTTGTGGGCACGGAGGGAGGCGCTGAGCCGCGGTCACTGTGGCTCACCGCGTCTCCCTCCCGCCCTTTTCCCATCAGCAGCTCCAGCTGGAGACACTACCTGGCAGTGAGTGGTCTTAAGAGGGAGGAGTTTGTTCCTTCCGGGTCCCAGATGGTTAAAGCTCAGAAGTGCTGGTATGTTCTCCCTGATCGGTGACAACTAACCGAGCACCAAAAAGGAAACCTGTTAAAGTGAAATGGACATTATGCGAAATGGTGACTTGATCAGTCCTTGCCCTGACTGATGATGAACAACTTAATACTTTATCCCTTTTAGTATTTTTTTGTTTGTTCTACTTAATACTGTTGGTTGAATTCTGTAATTAATACAGTTATTCTTAAGTGTTGAAACTTAACTGAAAAGTGATCCTTGTTAAATATAAGATTGGGAATAAAAGAGGGAGGAGATGTACAGTTCGGCACTTGCTCAATTGGACTTGCCCCAAATGGTAGAGTCAGAAACATACCAGGGGATTCCAATTCAATCCCATCAAGGTGGCATGTACCAATGCCATCTCACTAGTCCCAGTGATCAATTTCTGTTCATAATTGATCATAATGATAGGACTAAGAGTCAAAGGGAGCACATAAACAAGAGTAGTGTGAAAATACTAACCGATAGAATAAAGAAAAGGGAGAGAATGATCCAACATGGGAAGCAAGATACACAGCAGACTCATAGAATGGCAGATGTCCTAAACAGCACTCTGGCCTCAGAATCAGTCCTTAAGGCATTTCAGATCCGGCTAAAAAGCCCGTGAGAGTATTTCAGGCATGGAAAGCCAAGACACTCTGGCAAAACAAACAAACAAACAAAACCTAAATGAAATATCAAATATCTCTGTGAGAGAGATCCCAGTGGAAAGAACAGGTCATCAAAGAAGGAGGTACCTTTCTCTGAAGGGAGGAGAGAACTGCCACTTCTTCCACTTTGACTATGACCTTGTCTAAATATGATCAGAGTTGGCAAACTCAGAAGGTTTCCATAGCCTTGGCAACTCATGACAAGAGCCTCGGGAGATTACTGACGCCATAAACAAAGAGTGTCAATTTGTTAATCAACAACAGGAGTCACTATGCACTTACTCCTCATGTAGGATCTCTGTCCTTAATGTGCTGTACATTGTGATTAAATGCTGTAACTAGTACTCAAACAGTGTTTTTCACTTTGTGTTTCTGTGTGGGTGCAAACTGATGAAATTTTTACTTAATATATACTAAACTGATCTTCTGTATATAAAGAGAATTGAAAATGAATCTTGATGTGAATGGAAGGGGATAGGAAGCGGGAGAGGGGAGGGTTGCGGTGGGAGGGAAGTTATAGGGGAGAAAAAGTCTCGGGTGATTGCTGATGTCATAAATAAGAGTGCCAATTGTTAAATCAACAACGGGAGTCACGGAGTACAGACTCCCCATGTAGGATCTCTGTCCTTAATGTGTTTTACTATGAAACTTAAAAACAACACTACTAGTCGAACAATGCCCTATACCTTGTGCAGTTGTGTGAGTGCAGCCTGTTGAAATCCTTGCTAAGGTGATCTTCTGTATATGAAGGTGATTGAAAATGAAACTTGATGAAGGGCGGGATGGGAGAGGGAATAGGAGAGGGGAGAGCCGCGGGAGGGAGGGAGGTTGGGGGGGAAGCCACAACAATACAAAAGTTGCACTTTGTAAATTCACATTTATTAAATAAAAAAAAGAAGAACTTATGGGGGGGAAAAACCATTGTAATCCATAAGCTGTACTTTGGAAATTTATATTCATTAAATAAAAGTTAAAAAAAACTGGGAAATGAACAGCATAAAATAAATTCCCTCAATGTACATAAAGGTATTTATAAAATGCTGCCATTTTTTAAAGATCTATTTTATTTTTTTGAAAGACAGAGTTAGAGGGGGGTGGGGAGGGAGTTAAGGAGGGAGGGAGAGAGGTCTTCCATCTGTTGAGCCACTTCCCAAATGACCACAAGGGCCAAAGCTGGCCTAGGCTGAAGCCAGGAGCCAGGAACTTCTTCTGGATCTCCCACATAGGTACAGGGACCCAAACACTTGTGCCATCCCCTGCTGCTTTCCCAAGTACATTAAGAGGGAGCTAGATTGGAAGTGGGACAGCTGGAACTTGAAGCGCTGCCCATGTGGGATGGCATGCTGCAGGCAGTGGCTTAACCCTTTGTGCCACGATGCTGGCCCCTATACCTTACTATTTTACTAAACCAAAAATTTTTGAGCTGATAATGTTGGGAAGATGGCTCTATAAATAGAGGAAAAATGAGTTAAATAATCACAATAAATTACATGTAATTAATCTTTGGTGGCTATATGAAAATCTATATAAGAAAAACTCAGAAAGGTCTCAAAGACAGTTACAGGTTAACAGTTAAATGACCTCTGATATACAATATCAGAAGAAGAAATTATGTGTTAATATTAAAATATTTCAATTATATTACACTATAATGTAACATCTTAACAACTAAATGGATAACTGATAAGTATATATGCAAGAAGTATGACATTCTATTACTTTTATGTACTATTAAAAGCCTTTATTTTTATTTATTTTTATTTACTTGACAGATAGAATTACACACAGAGAGAGAGACAGAGAGAAAGGTCCTCCTTCCATTGGTTCACTCCCCAAATGTCCGCTATAGCCAGAGCTGCTCCGATCTGAAGCCTGGAGCCAGGTGCTTCTTCTTGGTCTCCCATGCGGGTGCAGGGCCCAAGCCCTTGGGCCATCCTCTACTGCTTTCCCAGGCCACAGCAGAGAGCTGGACTGGAAGAGGAGCAATCGGGTCTAAAACCGGTGCCCATTTGGGATTTCGGTACCACAGGCGGAGGCGGAGGATTAACCAAGTGAGCCACAGTGCCGGCTCTATTATCAGCTTTTAAAGAATAATCAGGCAAATACAAAAATCAAGTGTCAATAACATGAAAAATAATTCACATAAAAATAGACTGTAACAACAGAAATACGCAATATTATTGGTAATTGAAAAAAGGAAAATTAAAAGAACTGAAAAATGGCTTTTGTTTTGTCATATGAAGATTTAAGAATTTCATGTTGCAATCAGTAATTTCACTTGTAGCAATTTTCTTTAACAAAATAAACTAGTGTTCAAAAAATAATACAACACTATTTAAAATAGAGGAAATTTCAATACACTTAATACATCCAAGATGAGAATAATAAGGTGGAAAATTGTAGAACAAACCCAGAAAGGAATTCATTTATTAAAAATTGTAATTGTTGGGAGGGGATCAGCATTGTGGTATCATGAGCTAACCTGCTGTCCATATGGCTGGCATCCCATACTGGAGCATGGGTAGAAGATTCCCCCCCCCCCCACCTTTCAAACAAATAAGTGGAAACACATGAACCTGAGTTCCTCATATCCTGTCTGTTCGCTAACATCCCACAGAGCTCATCTGCGAGTCTCCCCCAGGAGCAGTACATCTGCCTTTCTCTGCCATACTAATGATTTTCAGATCAATGGCTGAAGAGGAAGATTCACAATTATAATTTTAAACATTTCTACTTATTTATGTTCTAGCTGTGAAGAATTGCAAAAGCTGACATTTCATTGATAGAGAAAGAATCCACAATTAGGAAAGGAAGGAAACAAGCAAAAACTATTTGGTATTGGATTATAACTTGAGGTATTGGTATGAACTCAATTATATATATGTGTGATTTTCAAAAGATCATGTATATGATGGGTTTCGAAAGTCTATGCATATGATGGAAAAACTGAATGGATTTCAAAAATTTTCCACCAAAATACTTGTATTTTTAATTCATTTTTTGCACATTTTGAAAGACTCGCATGTTTGTATTTGTGTGTGTGCATAAAGTAAAGTAAGGGAGAAAGGGGAAAAGATAGAAATTAGCCCATTGCATTTATGTGGAAGAATTTTTTTTTTTTTTAGTAGGAAGCACATTAGGAAAATAGGAAGTAGTATGGTGTCAAGTCAGCAACATTTTTACAAAATTTTATAATCTCAAATTGATTTAAAATTTTAAAAGTTTAATTTGTTGTAATATTTAATATTATTTGTAAGATACTATATATGTGTACCTTAGTTCATTTTCTGTTACCAAATCAAAGTGCCTGAGTAGATAATTTATAAAGAAAAGAGATTTACTTAGTTCATAGTTTGGGAGGTTGAAGATTCAATATTGGGCAGTCTCATTGATGGAATCAGTGCCTGTTCAGGACCTTCTTAACTGGGTCACATCACAGTACCTGTGGGAGCACATGTGGGAAGGAGAGATCACATCAGCAGACACAAAGCCAAATAAAGAATGAGGAGAGGTGGTAATGACCTCCCATTGGGCTCCAGATCTTAAGTGTCATCCTACCTCTTACTAGCACCACACTAAAGACCAACTCCCAGCATAAGAACCCTTAGGGCACACACTCAAACTCTCTCCAAACCATAGTGACTTGCAAACACATCCATATGCATATATGTGAGAAGATTATATGTTAAAATGGTGGAAGTTGTTTGCCATGTAATGAACAAAGCTTGGAACAATGATTACAATGATGGATAATAACCAGCAATGCCATATGCATTATTAATAAAAGCTATGTGTTAGTTTTATGAAGATGCTTCCTATTTCCCTTTACCTACGTTGTGGTATAAGTGATTACTGACCAAATCTTAGAGAATTTTCGATACTCATTTGTGGTGGAATGAGGTGAAAAGTTCATGCCAAGATGGCCGCTGTGGTGAAAAGTTCATGCCATGATGGCCACTGACAACAGAAACTGCCTGGCAACAGGCTGTGATTGGATGGCTTCAGAAACCACATGACAACAGAGAAAACCACATGACAACAGAGCCTGACTGACGGCAGGCCGTGATTGGATGGTTTCAGAAACTGCCTGGTAACAAGAGCCTGACTGGCAACAGGCTGTGAATGGTTGGGGCATAGACCGGCCCTTGAATGGATTGGCTGATCTTGACTATATAAGCTGAAATAAATGAGTCTGTGGGCTGCTTGCCTCAAGCCTGCTACAAGTTTTTTTCAATCTTATCTTTTAATAGTCTGAAGTCTAGTAAAAAATGAACTTTTTTCTGTGAATATTCTATTTTAGTTTGGTTTATCCCAGGTAAGGCTGTAGATTAAAAATATTTGATTTCAAAGAACTTGAGAGATCAAGGAAAAATCTCATGAGGGTGGTGAGGAAGGAGAGTTGGAAGGAGTATAGCCAGAAAATGATACATTATCAGTCTGTCTACCACTCTGAATTACTAAACACAACCATGTGAAAATAGGGGAAATGCTATAGAGCCTCAGCCTCAGATGTGCAGATTTCCCCACTTCCATGACAGGCAAGGATGCTGGGATTACTCACACATCCATTCTCAGCAGTCCTTGCTTGAATACTGCTTCCTATGAGACATTAATTTTACTGGCATTTATGGAGGTAAGGGGAAGTAGAGGGAGGTAAGGTCTTGCTAAATATCCCTAGTTCATTCCTTCACATTTCTCTTGAGTATTTGTACAAGAATTACTGCTCTTGTCCCTTTCTTGTACTTTTAAAAGAAATACTGACAATAACAAATAATGTGATAATTATGTTTTATTTTTCAAAATGTTCCATCAGAAATAGAAACTTAATTATTAGGCCTTTAGCCAAAACTTATCTACCAAATTATGGCTGGTAACATTTATTTTTTTTATTTTTTTTAACTTTTATTTAATGAATATAAATTTCCATTGTACAGAATATGGATTACAATGGCTTCCCCCCCAAAACGTCCCTTTCACCCGCAACCCTCCCCTTTCCCACTCCCTCTCCCCTTCCATTCACATCAAGATTCATTTTCGATTCTCTTTATATACAGAAGATCAGTTTAGCATACATTAAGTGAAGATTTCAACAGTTTGCTCCCACACAGAAACATAAAGTGAAAAATGCTGTTTGAGTACTAGTTATAGCATTAAATCTCAATGTACAGCACACTAAGGACAAAGATCCTACATGAGGAGTAAGTGCATAGTGACTCCTGTTGTTGATTAACAAATTGACACTCTTCTTTATGGCATCAGTAATCACCCTAGGCTCTTGTCATGAGCTGCCAAGGCTATGGAAACCCCCTGAGTTCAATGACTCTGATCATATTTAGACAAGGCCATGGTCAAAGTGGCAGTTCTCTCCTCCCTTCAGAGAAAGGTACCTCCTTCTTTGATGACCCATTCTTTCCACTCATTCTTTCCACTGGGATCTCACTCGCAGAGATCTTTCATTTAGGGTTGTTTTTTTTTTTTTTTTTTTTTGCCAGAGTGTCTTGGCTTTCCATGCCTGAAATACTCTCATGGGCATTTCAGCTGGATCCGCATGCCTTAAGGGCTGATTATGAGGCCAGAGTGCTGTTTAGGACATTTGCCATTCTATGGGTCTGCTGTGTATCTCACTTCCCATGTTGGATCATTCTCTCCCTTTTTTATTCTATCAGCTAGTATTTGCAGACACTATTCTTGTTTATGTGATCTCTTTGGTTCTTAGTCCTATCATTACGATCCATTGTGAACAGAAATTGATCACTGGGACTAGTGAGATGGCATTGGTACATGCCACCTCGATGGGACTGAATTGGAATCCCCTGGTATGTTTCTAACTCTACTGTTTGAGGTAAGTCAGCTTGAGCATGTCCCAAATTGCACATCTCTTCCCTGTCTTATTCCCACTGTTATATTTAACAGCGATCACTTTTCAGTTAAGTTTCAGCACTTAAGAAGAATTGTGTATTGATTACAGTATTCAACTAAAAGTATTAAGTAGAACAAACAAAAAAAATACTAAGAGGGATAACATATTAAGCTGCTCATCAACAGTCAGGGTGAGGGCTGATCAAGTCACCGTTTCTCGTAGTGTTCATTTCACTTTAACAGGTTTCCTTTTTGGTGCTCAGTTAGTTGTCACCTATCAAGGAGAACAAGTGGTATTTGTCCCTTTGGGATTGGCTTATTTCACTCAACATAATGTTTTCCAAATTCCTAACAGGGATCACTTTTCAGTTAAAATTTAAACACCTAAGAATAATTGTATGTTAATTACAGAGTTCAACCAATGATACTAGAACAAAAAAGAAAATACTAAAATGGATAAAGTATTACATTGTACATCAACCGTCAGGACAAGAGCTGATCAAGTCACTGTTTCTCATAGTGTTCGTTTCACTTTAACAGGTTTCCCCTTGGGTGCTCAGTTGTCGCCGATCAGGGAGAACATATGATATTTGTCCCTTTGGGACTTGCTTAATTCACTCAGCATGATGTTTTCCAAATTCCTCCATTTTGTAGCAAATGACCGGGTTTTACTGTTTTTGACTGCTGTATAGTATTCTATAGAGCACATGTCCCATAATTTCTTTATCCAGTCTACTGTTGATGGGCATTTGGGTTGGTTCCAGGTCTTAGCTATTGTGAATTGAGCTGCAATAAACATTAATGTGCAGACTGCTTTTTTGTTTGCCAATTTCATTTCCTTTGGGTAAATTCCAAGGAGTGGGATGGCTGGGTTGTATGGTAGGGTTATATTCAGGTTTTTTTTTTTTTTTGACAGATAGAGTGGACAGTGAGAGAGAGACAGAGAGAAAGGTCTTCCTTTGCCATTGGTTCACCCTCCAATGGCCGCCACGGCCGGCGCGCTGCGGCCGGCGCACCGCGCTGATCCGGTGGCAGGAGCCAGGAGCCAGGTGCTTTTCCTGGTCTCCCATGGGGTGCAGGGCCCAAGCACCTGGGCCATCCTCCACTGCACTCCCGGGCCACAGCAGAGAGCTGGCCTGGAAGAGGGGCAACCGGGACAGAATCCGGCGCCCCAACTGGGACTAGAACCTGGTGTGCTGGCGCCGCTAGGCGGAGAATTAGCCTAGTGAGCCGCGGCGCCGGCCTTATATTCAGGTTTCTGAGGAATCTCCAGACTG